ACCCCCAGACCTCCACTAGCCCCCTTCTCTCCCAGCAGCATCTCTAGGCTCCCCGCCTCGCCCTCTCACCCCACCCTCCAGGGTGGGCACCTTGAGCAGCTAGACGGGGCACCTCCAAATCCTGAGGGCATTTCAGGGAGCTGAGCTCCTCAGACGACACTGGCACCGACCTGGATCGCCCTCTCTTCTCAGGGCTGCCACCGTCCTGTGGGAAAGGAGCACCTCATTCAGGTGGGATGGGTGGCCTGGTGGTGGGGCCCTGGGCTGCCATTGGCCAGGTCGGCAGTTCGAGTCCACCAGCCGCTCCAAGGGTGAAAGATGAGGCTCTCAACTCCCTTAAAGAGTTACAGTCTGGGGAGACCCACAGTGGGGGCGCCACCCTGCCTGACAGGGTCCCTGGGTAGTGAGACTGAGAGGGTGAGGGCAGGGGTGGGGAGAGGGAGAGGGTCTCTTGGTTGGTGCAACTGGTTACTGCTTGCAGAGCTCCCGACGAAAAAGTTGGGAGTTTGGGTCCATCCTCAGAAGAAAGGCCTGGCAATTTTTCTTATCAAGAAAAATCCGCCACTGAAAACCTCCTGGCACGGGTCAGCTCTGACACACGGGGTTGTCCTGGGGGTGGATGGTGAGCTCCCAGATTGGGGGTAGGGTCCCCAGACTCAGGCCTCCTCAGCAGCGGTCAGCAGTCCTGGCCGATGGAGCTTCTGGTCCTCTACTCTGGAGCCCCAGGGCTGCAGCCCAGGTCAGGAATTTCCCCAGGGGCACGCTCATGGCCTAAGATACCCCCACCCCCAGCCAAGGGCCACCTTCTCCAGCACATGCCTCTGGCCCGGAGCCCAGACCTGAAGCAAGTCCTCCCCAGCCCGGAACCCCCTATGTAGCCACCCCCGCACCCCCCCACCCCCGCTTCTCACCCTGACTCCACACACAGACAGGGATTCCTCCAAGCTACAGGCCCCCTCCACGGACCCCCAAACCCGCAGGCACTGATGGGGAGATGTGCCCTGTTGCCCTACCCCAGCCTCAGGGCTACAGTCATGGCCAGGGACCCCCAGGGGAGAATCCCCCGAACCCCACAGCTTAAAGCCTGAGTTCCCAAGGATGAACTCCCGTGCCAGCAGTGTGCTCCTCCCAACCTCCTTCCCTCCCCCCCCCACCCCCCGCAGCCCCTGCTCCTGACCCCCAAAGGTGTGAGGAGCTGAGGCTGACACCCACCGTGCTTGGGTGCTCTGCTGGGCTCTTGTCCCCAGATGGGCACCCTTGGGTCCAGGTCTGCAGGCCCCCTCCTGACAGGTTGAGAGCGAGGCTGGCCAGGGACCGAGGGAGGGAGGGACCCTCATCTTCCCCCGGTGCAAAGTCCTTGAGGCTGAGCCTGGGAGGAGGCAGAGGGCTGGGGCTTCAGCAGGTCCTGCCGCCCCCCACTGCCCGCCCCCCTCCCCCGGGCAGGGGTGTGCAGCACGGGTGTGGGTGACTTCAGAGTGCCTAGTTCAGGGCTTGGCATGGAGCCCCATTTGTCTGGCAAGCCTGTCATTTTCAGCCAGGCTAGGGGGTGGAAGGAGAGGGGACCTGGGCTGAAGCACCCCTCACCTTCATCGGGTGCCTGTATCACTGGTACAGCAGTGATTTGCTTGTGTTTGTGCACCTGGTGTGCAAGCCACGCTCAGGGGGGTGTATGCATGTGGGCAGGGTGAGTTGGTGAGCCTGTCGGGTCAGCATGGGCAATGGCATGGTGGGCTCGAGAGTGTGCAAGTGTGTGGGTGAGGGCTTTGCACGCCCATGTGAGCTCTGTGTGTGCAGCTGTGCACATGTGCTGAAAGAGGGGCTTCCAGGCCGGCCTCTGAGCATGCAGACAGCCCTGGGGGGGTGCAGCTGCAGGGGCGGAGGGCTCCAGCCCACTTGTCCTGGGGGAGGGTGTCCTGGACGGCAGGTAGCAGTGGGATTGACCTCTGACAGCTCTCAGAGCAGCTCCTAGACCGTTCCCAGCTGCGTCTCCTCGCCTGCTGGACCAGGGACCCTACTGAGCGGGAGAAGGGCGAATCTCCCCCAGCTTGCATCTTGGGGGTGCTGTCGCTGGCATCCCCGGGCAGGCTGGAACAAGTGTCCCCCAGGCCCAGGTCCTGGAAGTACACGCTGCCCTGCAGGGCTTCCAAGTCCAGGCTGAAGTCTTCAGCTATCTGGTCCAGCTGCCCTGAACACCTGTCTTCTTCCTAAGGGCCGGCAGATGGAGACAAACAGGCGTTGATCAGTGCTGACAAGTCTGGGTTTCCAAAGAGCAGGCCTCACTCCCTGAAGTCCAGGTGCACTCCCTCCCTCTGTCCAGGCTCTGTGGATGGAGTTCCCCTAATGCCACTTGGCCCAACCTGGTCCCTTAAGGGCCTTCTCCCCCAAAGGGAGGATTCAAGGGAGGCTTCTCCTCCCTCAAGTCCTGGCTGAGCACCTTGCCTCACCTGGCCCCTCTACTAGAAATTAAACATGTCACCTACTCCCTGCCCACTCACCAGCATGTTAGAAGGCTGGGAAGTCGCCTTTGCAGATGCAATTTGCAAGGAGGCTGCTCAGATGTGAGGGCAAACTCTCCCCAAACGTGTGTGCTGAAACCCTAAACGAGGCGTCCTCAAACTACGGCCCATAAGCCACATGCGGCCCGCTGAGGACATTTATTGGCCCGCCGGGGTGTTTTTGCCCTGTTTGTTTTTTTTACTTCAAAATAAGATGTGGAGTGTGCATAGGAATTTGTTCATAGTTGGGTTTTTTTTAAACTATAGTCCGGCCCTCCAATGGGTCTGAGGGACAGTGAACTGGTCCCCTGTTTAAAAAGTGTGAGGACCCCTGCCGAAACCCTGGACCTGGAGGTGGGCGCCCCAGGTGTGCAGCAGTAAAGCCCTTTGCTGGTACCAGGAAGATTCTAAGGAGAGAGATCGGCAGTCTGCTTCCCTGGGGCTCTCAAGGTTGTCATCCACATGGACACAGACTGCCTCCTCTTTCTCCCATGGAGTGACGGCTGGGTTTGAACTACCGACGTATTTATTAGCAGCTCAGCATTTAAGCCTTTGCACCAGGGCTCCCAGCTTGGGTTTGACACCTGTGTGGAACTTGGGGGCTTTTCTCTGTGATGTTAATTCGGGAACAGGGTGGATCTTGACTCGGATCCCCTAGAGTTAGAAGAAGAGCAGAACAGACAGACAGACAGACAGACACACACGGATGAGGAGGACAGACTAAGGCGCAATGCCTCTACAAGCTCAGGTATACCAGGAATCGTCGTAGCTGAAACAGACCAGGTAAAACCTCCCCCTAGAACCTGCACCCTGGATTTGGCCTCCTAGCCTCCTGAACTTTGAGTGAGGAAACAAGTCTGTTCTTCAGAGCCACCCCCTTGTGGTGTTGCACCATCCCTGGGGACCGTGGGCAGTTATCCATGCTGCTAACAGTAGTGGCTCGGTCTTTTCCCTGAACTGGTGCAGCATCTGCCCAGTCTCCTGCATTAGGGCCTCTGGGACGAGGCGAGCCAGGCACTCACCTGGGACGCAAAACAGAAGGAACTACCTCAAAATCCAGTCATCAAGGTATGACAAAATACCCATTTATAAACTATCAAGGGCTCATGCGGGAGGGGGGAGCG